TTATTTGTAAAGAATTGGATCATATTTTGCATCCTGTGTATAACTTTTTAATGAGCATTTTTCAATACCTTTGAGAATCCTTCAAATACAGTTTTTAAGTCAATGTAATAGGCTCCTTTTATTCATAGTATAATGCATTTATATATTTACAGGATATAAATATTTAAATATTAACAGGTTTCAGTTCTTTTATATAAGGCTGTGGTAAACTACTTTCAATAAAAAATTATAACTTAATTTGTATTTATTCTTTCCTTTATGTCCCTTGCTTTAGGGGACATATTGGTGAAAATATTGCTGCGTGGAATATCTGACATTTTCAGCTTATGTTCTTCTCTAGGACTTTTATGGTGTTGCAACTTATATTTAAGTGTTCTATCCATTTGAGTTTATTTTTGTGTATGGTGTAAGTTGGTGGTTGAGTTTCATTTTTTTGCATGTAACTGTCCAGCTCTCCCAAAACCATTTGTTGAGGAGGCTATTTTTACTCAGTTTTATGCTTCTGCCCCTTTTGTTGAATATTGATTCACCATAGAGATACAGGTTTATTTCTGGGCTCTCTATTCTGTTCCATTGATCTATGTGCCTGTTCTTGTGCCAGTACCAGACTGTTTTGATTACAATGACCTTGTAGTATACTTTGATATTAGGTATTGTGATCCCTCCTACTTTGTTCTTTTTAAAAATTGCTGCAGCTATTCATGATTGCTTATGGTTCCATAAAATTTTTTGAAATGTTTGTTCTATATCTGTGAAATATGTCAAGCTTTAAGATAACTTAAAGTGGTATTACTGGGTTAAAAAACATGGATAATTTTAAGGGTTTTAATACATTTTGTCAATTTGCTTTCCAGAAAGATGACAACAGTTTACAATCCCATCAAGAGTATGTGAGAGATTATTTGATCATTTTAGTAATTATTAAAATATAAATAAAAGAAGTGGACCATTTTTTATGGATCAAAAAGGTCTTTTGAAAAATAAATGTTGGCATAAAACTAGAAGATATGAATAAAATGGTTAATAAGTTTATCTATACAAAATTTAAAAATTTTTTATGAGAAATATTAAAAACAAAAATCAAATGTAAATAAGTTCTAAGATGGAGAATAAATTGGGGAAAAGTCTTGTTGCATAACTTGTATATAAAAAACAAAGCATTAATTTCCCCAATATAAGAAAAAGCTCATGAAATTAGTAAGAAAAGGACAGATACTAGGAAAAATGGGTGAAACATTAATAGAAAAAAAATTACTAAGTCTACATGAAAACATGCCTAACTTTGACCAATAATGCATATTAATGAAACAGAATTGCCTTTGTATCTAATTATGAGAGAATAGAGAGGCTGAAAGCACAGATAGAGAGAAGCAAGGATTGCCAAATTGTGGTCTAAGTTGCTTGTTCAAAGGCTGGTGCACCATTTGTGTTCTTAGCTTTGGCTGGGGGTAATCCAGAACTGAAACTTAGGTGAGTAACAAACATCCTAGTCTCAGTTTCCTTAGCTAAAGTGAAGGTAATAATTAATAGGATTGTTGTAAAATTGAAATGACATGATAGATGCAAAGCACTTAAGAGTGATTACAGCACAGTTAGCATTTCTGAGTCAGAGCTTGAGACTTTGGTTTATAGTTACATCATCACTAACAAATCATTTTTTAAGCCAAAAAAATAGGAAATAATTTATGTCTCCCACAAATTATGGGAACAATACAGATATTAAGCGGATGTCACATTTTTAATAAAAAGTTGCTAAATGCAATGTAGTGCATTCTAGATTGGATCCTGGAACGAAAGGACATGAGTGGAAAACTAGTGAAACCTAAATAAAATCTGTAAGTTAATAGTATTGTACCAATGTGAATTTCTTATTTTTTAAATTAATTAATTAATTTTTTCAACTACATTTGTCTCTGCCTTCCTCCCCACCACTTTCCCTTGCCCCCTCCCTCCTTCCCACCCTCCCTCAACTCTACCCCTTTGGTTTTGTCCATGAGTCCTTGCTATATGTTCCTTGACTTTCCCCCTTCCCTTCCTTTTCCCCCCGCCCCCGCCCCCTTCCCTCTTGTCTCTGTTAGTTTCTTTTCCTTTCAATGTTGCTGGTCTTATTTTCCTTGCATCTTTGTATTGTTGGTTGAATTTCTTATTTTTTACAAAAATTTCCATGGTGCTATGTTAAGATGTTAACAGTAAGAGAAATTGGGTGAAGGGTTTATGGGAACTTTTTAATACTATCTTTGCAACTTTTCTGTAAATCTAAAACTATTTCAAAATGAAACTTTTAAAACTTCTGTTTTAAAGAATAGGTTGTAAAATGAACAGCCCCAAATGAATATTTAACCATTAAAAAAACGCAGAATCTCATGCCCTACTCCAGACCCACTGAATTACAACCTGCATTTTTTAACAATATTTCATATTAATTTAAAGTTATTTTCTTTATTATTCAAAAAGTATAAATTCTGTGAGGTTGAAGGAAACCTAAATGCCAAATATAATGTTTTCAGAAGCTAATGGGATCATTTAAGTGAACTGTTGGCAGAACCAGTAGCTGCTCCATTAAATGATTATTGTTTTATATATTTTTTACCTTTGTTTCCTGTAAGAAAAAGCCTACCTTTATTTAGTTTTGTTTGTGCCCCCCTTTCATTTTTTCTTTTTTAAAATTTTATTTAAATTTATTTTTTCAAATACATTTGTCTCTGCCTACCCCCCACCACTTTCCCTTGCCCCCTCCTTCTTTCCCTCCCTCAGCTCTTCCCCTTTGGTTTTGTCCATGAGTCCTTGCTATATGTTCCTTGACTTTCCCCTTCCCTTCCTTTTCCCCGCCCCCCCCCTTTCCGTCTTGTCTCTGTTGGTTTCAGTGTTGCTGGTTTTATTTTCCTTGCATCTTTGTATTGTTGGTTAGGTTCCACTTATAGGTGAGATCATATGGTATTTGTCTTTCGCCCCCTGGCTTATTTCGCTTAGCATAATGCTCTCCAGTTCCATCCATGCTGTCGCGAAGTTTAGTAGTTCGTTTTTTCTTTCTGCTGCGTAGTATTCCATTGTGTATATGTACCATTATTTTTTGATCCAATCATCTACTGATGGGCATTTAGGTTGCTTCCAACACTTGGCTATTGTCAATTGTGCTGATATGAACATTGGGGTGCATAGGTTCTTTTGTATTGGCCTTTTGGTATTCTTAGGGTATAGTCCCAGCAGGGGAATCACTGGATCAAAAGGCAGTTCCATTTTCAGCTTTTTGAGGAAATTCCATACTGCTTTCCACAGTGGCTGCACCAGTCTGCATTCCCACCAACAGTGTACTAGGGTTCCCTTTTCTCCACAGCCTTTCCAGCACCTGTTGTTTGTTGATCTGTTGATGATGGCCATTCTGACCGGTGTGAGGTGGTACCTCATGGTGGTTTTGATCTGCATTTCTCTGATGGCTAGTGATGCTGAGCATCCTTTCAAATGCTTCTGGGCTTTCTGTATCTCCTCCTTGGAAAAGCGTCTGCCCACAACCTGCATTTTAACAAGATTCCAGGTGATTCAAGTTGACATTAATATTCAAGAACCACAGATTTAGTACATTGGTTCTCAAACTTGGTTATGCATTGGAAATCCAGGTAATTTTTTTAAAATGCTGACCTTTGGACCCTCTCCTAGAATTTGATTTCATTGGTGGGAATGGCCTGGCACTTTTTAAAACTTTCATTTGTTTTTAATGTGCAGCAGGATTTGAAAATAATGAATACATTACTAGTAAATAACTGTCAATTTTGTAATACATACTAAATTTAAATTTGTGGAAAGTTTTGGCATCAGTTCTCTATCTAGTCTTTTATTATATAGAAATACTGTGTAATTTTGCAAAAATATTGGAAAAGTATTGTCCACTACAGTAGTTTGTAACAGTAGAATATGAAAAACAACCAAAACATCCATCCAGATGCTGAGAGTTTAAACACAATACAGTGTGTTCAGTTTGCAGCTTCATACCCATCTGTGGCTTCCCCCACACTGTCCTTCCTTATGGTCAAGAGCCCATCGATCTTTGTACCCTGGGACTCATGCCCACCTCTCTGCCTCTTCAGTAATTTGATGGAGACCGATTTGGGATTTTCACATAGAAACAGAATTTCTGAGAGCCCAGGGGGTGGATGCATTCTGCAGGGTGGGTTATGTGTGTCTGGAAGAACAGTGGAGAGAGGTGCTATTGGGCCAGAAGAACCCAGAGGCCAGATATTTAGCAAGCTAGGATCACAATGCAGGTGAACAGGAAATCTTTGAGGGTCCCCAACTCCTAGGGCAGAAGCAGGAGAGGGGCTTGCCTGGACTGAAGGTCAGTGGCTAGAAGGTTAGAGGTGCCCTGCGTGAGGCAGGGTCACAGGTGCTGGATTACATCACAAAGTGTGACCTTCTTGCAGGGGCATGGACTCAGAAGGTGAAGAGGGAGCAGAGATCAGGAGTGAGGGAGTCCTCATACTAGGATATAGGTGCAAGCTGAGTGTGCTTGAGACTCAGGAGAACTACTGGCTGGTACCTGGGTCAGAGCCTGACTCCACAAGGAGGAAGAACAGCTGGCAGTGGGGCAGATTGGAAAGTTCACAGAGAGCCGGAGCCAGTAACCCCTGGGGGCAGCAATGTTTTAATAGTCACATCCTACAGGCTTGAGACACAGAAGCAGGAGTGGGAGGTAAGGCATACAGCGTATGTGTTGGTGCCATCTGGGCTAAGTGCTCTCCCTAGAACTGCAGACCACACCCACGATAAGGAGTGGGGATGCCTGGGAGCAGAGATTCCTCATGGCTTCTTCCTGTGGGTGGCTTTCCATGGAGGACAGGGGTAGTCCTACAGGTGATCCTAATCACTCTATCTTGAAACTAGTTGGGCTGATGCTGGTGTGGTAAGATCTTTGAACCTATAGTGGCAGGTGCGGCCACCCTACCTCACCTGCAACTCCATCCCTGAGAAGACAAAGAGGCTCACCTGTGCCCCTGGACTGAGGGACCATGACAAGACTCTGGGGGTCCTGCCTGCTCCTGCTCACCCTTCTGGTGACCCTCGCGGCCAGCACAGACCCAGACAAGAGTAAGATCAAGGTATTAAGAGAATTAAAAGTTATTGATGCCTCGAATGCCAACGTGAAGCAGTGTCTGTGGTTTGCCATGCAAGAGTACAACAAAGAGAATGAGGATAAATACATTTTCCAGGTGGTCAAGATATTGAGAGTCCAGCTTCAGGTAAAGGTGTTCTTTCACAATATGCATATTTGTATATGGTGGTACAGACTGAAGCTAGTCTGAAAGATTGGGCATGTGAGAAAAATATTGATATACGAAAACTAAATATGTGAGTGCTCAAGCACATATACACTTTCATGCTACGATAATATCAGTGAAATTTCTATACATGCTTGGACTGGCATTTTAAGTACTTTACATGAATTAACTCATTTAAACCCCAAACTGCAAATCAAATGTTCATGATTTGTGTTTGCTAAGGTTTTTGGGAGACAAACTGAGCACCATGAATATTTTGCAATATTGCTTCCACAGGCAATATTTCAATCTATCCACATAATGTGGAATGTGGAGTTGAAGAGAAAAATGAGGCACACTATCTAATGTATAGGCTAATAAAGTGTCTCCTCCTATATTCTTTCTTTTAATACAACATTTATTTAATGAAAGTGGAGACATTATAATTTTCAGTTTATAGAAATGTGTCTGTTTTCACAGGACCATGAGTTTATCAATACTAGGGAGTGTTGCTGACTTGGATTCTAGTATAGGTCATGCTCCCTGGGGTTTCCAACATGTGGCTTTGGCTGCAATGTTTGAGAAAAGGCTCTTCGTGTTGGAATTCAGCCTCAGTCATTGGCTGGTGGTGAGCCATTAAACCTGTGAGAATTAGATGTATAGAGACCCAAAAGACAAGGTTAGTGTTGGCAGAGCTTTTTTCAGTTTTTAAGCTTTCCAGTCTGTCTGTTTAGCAGAAGCTGAGCCACTTTACATGTTTGTACTTATCACTTTACCCCTTGGGAACATGAGAGTCATGAGTACCATATTTGCAGTACATTACCCTGATGGTGCAGCACGATTTATTGATAGGGCACACGCCATAATCCATCTGGAGGCATAATTTTGTGGAATTTTGAGATAAAGGAATGCATCCTAGTTCTGGTAACTTCTCTAGCCCCCTTCACAGTTTGTTTTTTCTTTTGGTACCCAAGTAGTGTACACATTTAGCAAGTTTCTCCCAAGCCACTTCTGTGCTAGCCACTGTAGTTGGGCCAGTGAGATGGACAGAAATGATCACAGCCTTAGAAAGCCAGAAGTTCAATTAGAAAGAACAAAATGCTAAACCAGGAATGAGAGCTGTGATGTTTGTTCTGGTGGGTCTGGGTGTCAGGTAACAGCTTCTTCAGACAACCTTTCTCACCTGAGGAACTTGTAAATGTCCCACTGCACCCTCATTAATTAAATGAGGGTCTCTAGGTGGGACTCCAGTCTCAGTAGGTGTTAAAACCCTTCAGGTGATCCCCATATGCAGACAAGGCTGAATACCACTTGTCTAGGAGGTACTATAGAAGATGCATACTGAGGGCAGTCTAGGAGTGAAACAGGTGAAGGAGGTTAGTGGGAAGTGCTTTCATTTGGGTTTCCCAGAAGCTGACTCTAACTAGAATTCAAGCGCAATTATTTGGGAGGCCAGGCAGGAGGCTGGGAGGCGAGGCAGGAGGTCAGGAGGCCAGGCAGGTAGTGTGGAGGGGACAGGGAGGCAGCCAGTGCAGAGTGAATTACTGAGCAGGTTACCACCTTGGGCAGCTGGGTTCAGTCTTCCTGGGGAGCCAGGGACAGGGTGCAGAGCCTGCTTTAAATTTGGGCCACTATATATAGGAGGAGCTGGGTTACTTATCTACCAACTCTTATCCAACATTGGCCAACAGCTACTCTGGGAGTCCTTAGCTCCTGTTTGTGGCAGGAAGCCCCCAGCAGGGAGCTCCAACAAGTGGTAGTATGTTTAGGAACAGCATGGGACATGGGGTACCACTCATACTATCTTCTACAGAAGAGGATCAGGGAAGATTTGGAGTACACGGGGGTGGGGAAGAGCAGCTAGGCATAGCATGCTGCCAGTGGGAAGGAACAAAGCCATGGAAACTCAGGAGCTAGTGTGACTGGGCAGGAAGTAAACAGTGATTGCCATGCCTGTCCTTGTAGGCCATGGGTAAGAGTTTTATATACTTTATTTTATGAGCACTGAAAAGTCAGAAAACCATGAGGTCAGGGGTTCTCAGGATCCATGTTATTAGATTTGGGTTTTAAAACTGTCATTCTAGTTTACTTACATTTAGAAAGAGGTTATGCAGATTCAATCAAGGTGTCCATGTAACCGATGCCCCCAGCTTTCCCAGAAATCACCACATAGGAATCCTTTGCTTTTCTCTGACTGAATGAGCAGAGTGGGCAGAAAGAAAAGAGGAGTGAGCAAGGTGGTCAGGAATGCAAATGCTCTTGCCAGGACACCTGTTTGAGCCCTGGATTGGCTGATTGCTGGATGGATAGTTAGTTCCTCTGTGCCTCAGTTTAATTACCTAAAAAAATGGGAGTGACAGTTTTACCCTAAAGGTATAATGTGCCGGTTAACTGAGTTATTGTGAGCAAAGCCCTAGGAATGTACATGACAGACAGCGATCACTGATGAAGGTCAGCAAGTATTAAGACTAACAGGAACTCCTGTTGGTGATCAGGTTCACCCCCATGGTATTTTTGAGGTTCTCTAAATACACACTTAATTTCCAAACCCAAGGAGCAGCTCTGCTGGTCACCTCTTGATGTTGTCTAACCAGCTTCACCCTGACATGATGTATCCCCTTGTTAATTCTTTGTAACTCAGCCAAATTTAATTCAAATTTATCAAGGCTTAGAGATGGCAATGAGGAAATGTGATAGAAAAAAGGGGAATCTAGGGGAAGCTGGAACCAAGTTGCAGATACCCATTTTCATCTTCTGCAGATTTAAATGAACACCATGAGTAGCCTTCACCTTCACTGCACTCAATCATTATGAATTCAGTAAATACTAATGCCTTGCTATGAACTCACTGCTGCTCTCCTTACTAAACACTCAGCAGAGAACAGAAAGATGAACTCCCTTGGCATGGTCCCTTTAGGACTGTTTGCTGAGGTGGTAGGTGGGGCCTAGGGTGGAAAAGCCTCAAGGGGCAGAAGATTTAACAAAATGACAGAATCTACTGGGTTTGTTAGTGCAGGAAAAGAATAAGGGAGGATGTCCATTGTGGCTGAGGTGTCTGTCCTTCCATCTGGCCTACATGAATATGTAGCATCTTGGGCCCAGAGGAGGTCATGATTCCAGTGACTTCAGTTTTCTCCCTGAACCCTTCACTGAGCATACAGCGTGCCTTGGACTTTGGGACCAAAAAAAAAAAAAAAAAAAAGTAGAAGGCCTTGCTTTCCAGGAGGTCCCACACTGGAAATGAGCCTCTTTTCTTGGTATCCAGCTGTAGGTAGGGGCTATGTAACCAGCATTAGTGTGCAAAGGAACCCAGGTAGTGGGCATGATAAGAGAAAGAATGTATGATAGATAGGGAGGCAAGATCAAGGTGAGAGAAATTTTTCAGTGTTAAAACTTTTTATAAGTAAAACACAACTTTTTGAATAAAATTGAACAATTCCTGCAATTGTTAATTGATAGGTCACAGACCGTTTGGAATACTTTATTGATGTTGAAATTGCCCGCAGCAATTGCAGAAAGCTTTCAAACAATAATGAAAACTGTATTATTCAAGAAAACTCCAAACTGGAAAAGGTAAGTGACAAACCAGCTATATGTGATGGACTTTGCTACTCTGAGCCCCATACAGAAGAACTTGGGGTGCCCAGACTCTCTTTGAGGTCTAGATTACTCCCAATATTTAGCCCCAGAAGTTGCCAATCCTATGGCTTTTAGAGCAGAAAGTATAGGGCAGCACAATCTGGTGGACCCCTCTGAGTCTTTCCCTACCCCTCATCCTCAGGACAGCATACTGTCAAAGTCACTTTGATGGCAAGAGCTCTATCAACTCTGGACTATTGGTGCAGGAAAAATTGACAACACATATTTACTGAAGGTCTGCTCTCTTGGATCTGTATAAACAACTCTGCTGTTGCTGGCAAACAGTTGCTTATCCTTGTGGAGACACCAAAGAAAGTTCATTCTTTCACTCATCTCATCAAAGCATACTTGCACCAGGCGCCATTCTGTGTGCTGTCCATTAAGAAGCATCTCCATCCCAGGCGTATAGTTGATTCTTGGTAGGCCCAGCCATAGTTCCCATGAAGGCCCAAAGATTCCCACCAAAAGGCTGACTTGGCACAGGTCCCTTGGCCTCAAGACTGTAATTTTTTGTTTCAGACACAGAGAGAGCTCTGGATTTATTAAGATGCTTTTATGAGATTGGTGAATGCCCTAGGCTTTTTTGCAGGTTTGCCCAAGAGGTGTGTCTTTGTCTCTTTCTTTATACAAATGGTTCTCTACATGATTGGGCATCAGAATTAAATGCTTTGATAAACCCAGATGGCTGCAACATACCTGCAGAATTTCTGATTCATTGGTCTGGAGTGAGATCCAGGATTCTGCATTCTTGAAAAGTTCCCAGGTGATTCTGCTGCTTCTGGCCTTAGGTACAGGAGATTGCAAGGGCACATTAACAAAGGGCACTCGCATGATGTCTAGAACTGCCTCTGCATGGGCAAACTGAACAAGTTAGATAATTTTCAGTTAATGTAGATAGCCATCAAGACATTTAAACAGTGAACATATGTTTCTTTACTTCAAAAAATTTTTTATTGTTGCTCAATTACAGCTTTCCACCTTTTGTTCCCATTACTCTCCCCTGCCTTGCCCAAACTCCCCCTCCCACATCTAATCCTCCCTACCTCCTGTTGTTCTTGTTCATGGGTCCTTTATACATGTTCCTTGACTCACCTTTCCTTTTCTTTTCCCCATCAGCCCCCTCTCCTCTCCCCTCTGGCCATTCAGTTTGTTTATTTCCATGTCTCTGGTTCTATTTTGCTCACTTGTTTGTTTTGTTGATTAGGTTTCACTTATAGATGAGATCTTATGGTATGTGTCTTTTGCCACCTGGCTTATTTCACTTAGCATAATACTCTCCAGTTCTATCCATGCTGCTGCAAATGGTAGGAGCTCCTTCTTTCTTTCTGCTGCATATATTCCATTGTGTAACTGAACCACAGTTTTTTGATTTACTCATTTACTGATGGGTACTTGGGCTGTTTCCAGTGTTTGGTTATTATAAATAATGCTGCTATGAACATTGAGGTGCATAGGTTTTTGAGAATTGGTGATTCAGGATTCTTAGGATATAATGCTAGTGGTAGAATTGCCAGGTCAAAGGTGCCACTAAAAGTGGAACTCCTTTTTTGAAGAAATTCCATACTGTTTTCCACAGTGGCTGCACCAGTCTGCATTCCCACCAACAGTGGACTAGGGTTCCCTTTTCTCTACAACCTTGCCAGCACTCCTTGTTCATTGATTTGTTTTTGATGGCAATTCTGACTGGTGTGAAGTGGTCTCTCATTGTGGTTTTAATTTGCATCTCTCTGATGGATAGTTATGTTGAGTCTCCTTTCATATGGCTATAGGCCCTGTGCATGTCCTCCTTGGAGAAGTGTCTGTTCAGGTCCTTTGCCCATTTTTTAATCAGATTGTTTGTCTTCTTGGTGTGGAGTCATGTGAGTACTTTATATTGAAGATCAAACCCTTGTTCAAGGTATCATTGACAAATATGTTCCCTCATACAGTTGGTTCTCTTTTCATTTTGCTGATATTTTCTTTAGCCATGAATAAGTTTCTTATTTTGATGAAGTCTCATTTGTTTATTTTTTCCTTTATTCCTTACTCTAGAACATAATGGTGAGAATATTGTTGCATGGAATATCTGACACTTTCCTACTTATGTTCTCCTCTAGGACTTGAATGGTGGTGTGACTTATATTTAAGTATTTTATCTATTTTGAGTTTATTTTTGTGTATGGTATAAGTTGGTGGTCAAGTTTCATTTTTTTGCATGTAGCTCTCAAAATCTCCCAACACTCTTTGTTGAAGAGGCTATTTTTACTCCATTTTAAGCGTCTGCTCCCTTTGTTGCATATTAATTGACCATAGAGACATGGGTTTATTTCTGGGCTCTCTATTCAGTTCCATTGAACTATATGTCTGTTCTTATGTCAGTACCAGACTCTTTTGATTACAGTGGCCTTGTTTGATATTAGGTATTGATATTAGGTAATCCCTCCTACTTTGTTTTTCTTTCTCAGAATTGCTGCAGCTATTCGGGGTCATTTATGGTTCCATATAAATTTTTGAAACGTTTGTTCTATATCTGTGAAATATGTCATTGGTATTTTAATAGGCATTGTGTTGAATCTGTAAATTGCTTCGGGCAGTATGGACATTTTGATAATGTTAATTCTTCCAATCCATAAACATGGAATATACTTCTATTTATTTGTGTCTTCCTTAATTTCTTTCTTCAGTGTTGTGTAGTTTTCTGAGTACATGACTTTTATCTCCTTGGTTAGATTTATTCCTAGGCCCTTTCTTTTTTCCTGTTGCTATAGTAAATGGGATTTCCCCCCTAATTTCTGTTTGAAATATTTCATTGTTGCTGTACAAAAGTGCCTTCAATTTCTGAATATTGACTTTGTATCCTGCCATTTTGCCCAATTCATTTATTAGATTGAGTAGTTTTTTGTTGGAGTCTATTCGACTAGTTTTTTGTAGTAGTCTATAGGGTTTTTTATGTACACTATCATGTCATCTGCAAACAATTTCACTTGGAAAGGAGACAGTTTCACTTCCTCTTTTCCAATTTGGATACCGTCCATTTCTTTTTCTTGTCTGATCACTGTGGCAAGAACTTCCAATACTATGTTGAATAGAAGTGGTGAAAGCAGACACCCCTGTCTTGTTCCTGATCTTAATGGGAAAACTCTTAGTTTTTTCCCATTGTATATGATATTGGGTGTAGGTTTCTCATATATGGCCTTCATTATGTTAAGATATGCTCCCTCTACTGCCAGTTTGCTGAGTGTTTTTATCATATATGAGTGCTGTACCCTATCAAGTGCTTTCTCAGCATATTAATATGATCATGTGATTTTTGTCTTTCTTTTGGTTTATGTGATGTATTACATTTATTGATTTGTAACTATTGTTCCATCTTTGCATCCTGGCGATGAATCCCACTTGATCATGGTGTATTCTTTTTTTAATGTATATTTTATTGATTATGTTATTACAGTTGTGTCATTTTTTTCTCCCCTTTATCCTACTCTGCTCTGTACCTTCCTCCCTCCAGCATTCCCCCCTCTTCATTCATATCCATGAGTTGTACATGTAAATTCTTTGGATTCTCCATTTCCTATACTATTCTTAACCTCCTCCTGTTTATTCTGTACCTACCAATTATACTTTTTATTCCTGATACATTTTCCCCCCTTTCTACCCCCACTCCCTTCTGGCTAATAACCCTCCATGTGATCTCCAGTTTTGTGATTCTGTTACGGTTTTAGTTGTTGCTTAGTTTATTTTTGTTTTTGTCTTTGTTTTTCTTTTTAGGTTCAGTTGTTGATAGTTGTGTTTCTTGTCATTTTTACTGTTCATAGTTTCAATCTTCTTTTTCTTAGTAAGACCCTTTAACATTTTATATAATAATGGCTTGGCAATGATGAACTCATTCAACTTGATTTTATCTGGGAAACACTTTATCTGCCCTTCCAGTCTAAATGCTAGTTTTGCTGGATAGAGTAATCTTGGATGTAGGTCCTTGCCTTTAATGACTTCGAATACTTTTTGCAACCCCTTCTTGCCTGTAAGATTTCTTTTGAAAAATCAGCTGATAGCTTTATTGGAACTCCTTTGTAAGTAACTCTCTCCTTTTCTTTTGCTGCCTTTAAGATTCTCTCCTTATCTTTAATCTTGGGTAACTTAATTATGATGTGTATTAGTGTGTTCTTCCTTGAATCCAACTTCTTTGGAACACTGAGCTTCCTGGACTTTCTGGAAGTCTATTTCCTTCGCCAGATTGGGGAAGTTCTCCATCATTATTTTTTTCAAAGAAGTTTTAAATTTCTTTCTCCCTCCTTCTGGCACCCCTATGATTTGGATGTTGGAACATTTAAAGTTGTTCCAGAGCCTCTCCTCATTTTTTAAAAATTCTTGTCTCTTTATTCTGTTCTGGTTGAATGTTTATTTCTTCCTTTTGTTCCAAATTGTTTATTTGAATCCCAGTTTCCTTCCCTTCACTGTTGGTTCCCTGTTTATTTTTCTTTGTTTCACTTTGTATAGACTTCACCTCTTCCTTTATTTTGCATCCATACTCAATAATCTCTATGAGCATTATGATTACCAGTGTTTTGAATTCTGCATCTGATAGGTTGGTTATCTTCTTCTTGCTCAGTTTTTTTCCTGGAGTTCTGATCTGCTCTTTCATTTGGGCCATATTTCTTTGTCTTTGTGCATCTGTTATGTTGTAAGGGGTGTAGCCTTAGGTATTTGCGAGGGTAGGACAACACACTTCCCCTTGTTGTGGTGTTCTATATGGGGGAGGGGTAAGAGAGGGAACAATGCCACTTGCTAGGCTCTCACCCTGCTTTCAAGAGATTGGCAGTATCTACTGCAGCCACAACACCCACAGGTTTTTACAGCTAGAGTTTCTGAGGCTTATTTTCCCCATGCTAGGACCCTGGGGAGTGTGGTCTGTTTTGGTCCTCAGTTGTTCCTACAAGTTTATCCACATGGGAATGTGGAAACACCTGATTCTCTAGCCTCTGCCTTGCTCTCTGTCCTCTCTGTCCTGTCCCCTCCCCTCCTACCAGTCTGGATGAATGTTTCTTCTTTAATTCCTTGGTTGTTGGACTTCCATATAGTTAAATTTCTGGCAGTTCTGGTTGTTTTTTGTTTTTAAATTTGTTATCCTTCTTTAGGTTGTGCAAGGAAGTGAAATGTATATACCTACACCTCAATCTTGCACTGCTGGATGCAGTTTGCTAATATTTTATTGATGATTTTAGCATCTATGTTCATCAGCGATATTGGCCTGTAGTTTTCTTTTTTTGTTGTGTCTTTGTCTGGTTTGGGATCAGGATAATGCTGGCCTTATTAAAAGAGTTTGGGAGTCTTCCTTGTTCTCGGATTTTTTGGAGTAGTCTGAGAAGGATGGGGTTAGCTTTTCTTTAAAGGTTTGTAAAATTCTCCTGTGAAACTGTCTGGTTCAGGACTTTTGTGTGCAGGGAATTTTTTGATTACTGTTTCAATTTTTCTAGGGCTGTGGGTCTTTTCTGGCTTTCTGCTTCTTCTTCATTCAGTGCTGGAAGATTATATATTTTTCTAGAAATTTGTCCATTTCATTGAGGTTTTCAAATTTCTTGGCATACAATTGTTCATAGTAATTTCTTACAATCTTTTGTATTTCTGTGGTATCAGTTGTTATTTCGCCTCTTTCATTCCTGATATTATTTATTTGTGTCCTCTCCCTTTTTTTCTTTCTTTTTTTAAAAAATTAATTTATTTACTTTTTAAATACATTTGTCTCTGCCTTCCCCCCACCTCTTTCCCTTGCCCCCTCCCACCTTCCCTCCCTCAGCTCTTCCCCTTTGGTTTTGTCCATGAGTCCTTGCTATATGTTCCTTGACTTTCCCCTTCCCTTCCCTTTCCCTGCCCCCCCCTTCCCTCTTGTCTCTGTTGATTTCTTTTCCTTTCAGTGTTGCTGGTCATATTTTCCTTGCTTCTTTGCATTGTTGGTTAGGTTCCGCTTATAGGTGAGATCATATGGTATTTGTCTTTCGCCCCCCGGCTTATTTCGCTTAGCATGATGCTCTCCAGTTCCATCCATGCTGTCGCAAAGTTTAGTACTTCTTTTTTTCTTTCTGCTGCATAGTATTCCATTGTGTATATGTACCATAATTTTGGAATTTCCTCAGAAAGCTGAAAATGGATCTCCCTTTTTTTCTTGATGAGTCTGCTTAAAGGCTTGTCGATTTTGTTTATCTTTTCAAAAAACCAACTCCTGGATATGTTGATCCTTTGGATTATTATTTTAGTCTCTATGCCATTTAATTCTGCTCTGATCTTGATTATATCCTTCCTTCTGCTCATAAACAGTGAGCATTTCTTAAGGCCATCTAACCTTTTATGTTACTTTAAATCTTTTACTTTTAGTAGAAGTATGGTCAGTTTAAACTTATATTTTCTATACTGGGCTCATTGAAGATATATTGGAAGTTGTAGCTTTTTACCTGTTTGTAAAAATTATTAAAGAGAATTAGGGAAAATTTTCCTCAAGGAGCTCATTTATTGTAGGTAAAGTTTCCATGCACAATCTCAGTTTTAACGTACATGTTTTTAAGTACATATTTATCAATTCTGAAAACTTTGTTCCTTTTTATTCAAGTTTTTGGAATAATGCTGAAGTATAATAATGCCAAACAGTTGTTCTTATTCCTGCTTTGATGGAAATGTTTTCCATATTTACATTCTGCTCTTATATATTATATAGTATATCAAGTACTGATTTCTTGAGGTCCATCCAATTTCCTTTTATGAAGTGCTATTTTTTAAATTAAGAATATTTTCTTCTATCAATTATTCTTCAGTGTCTACCATATATATTGAATAATTTTCCTCCTGTGACCCATTTGTGTAGTAAACAAAAATAATAGATTTCCTACTATGGGACATTTTTTACATTCCAGACTATGGTGCTCTTGTCTTTCTTTTTGTGGTATTATTACTTTATTTGGTTATTAGTTCTCATCCACATTGACTGACTGTAAGTTTTTGAAAATGGTGACAGGTACATAGATAACAAATGTATAAGCTTTTTTGGTGAATCTTTATGTTCATTACATTTTCTGGTAACAACACACAATTATGGTATGGGACATTTTCTTATTTCTTTGATTCTGACAGCTTTGTTGAGCCTGGTGTTGATGGATACGTCTGACATTCTTATCTCTTTCACTGCAAATTTCCAGCTCTCTTGGAGTGCTGGGGTTGGGAGGGTGTGCGCTTCTTGAAGGATGCCCCACAGATGTGCTTGTGAAGATTGATGATGTATTCTTAGTAACCACTCTGTTGATAGCAAACAACCTTTTTCTCTGTTGACCCCAGGTTGGAAAGAAAGAGCATGGCAGATTGTGCCTGCACTCATCTGTTAGAATGCAGTGGGAATCAATATACCACTTCTTTATTTAGGACTTTTGCATGCATATATATATACTCTCAAACTTCCTTAATGTAAAGAATCATTGGAGGATGAGGTGAACACCATGCATTCATATACATACATGCATACCAGTTCCCTCGGCTCATTCTGAAACCATTGAATCAGAATTTCCAAGTAAAGGCACCCCACATATATTTCATATCACTGACAAAGTCTAAAAAATACTCTATTAGAGATGTAAAGGTCTGTGGCCTCCAGGTAGCAGTAATTGTTTATATGCAACTGCCTTTAACTTGCTAGTATTTTTTAAAAGGATTTTTGTTCCATTTACTAGGACAAACATTTGAGCAGTAAGAATGTCTTAATGCTTTCTTGAAGTTCCCAGGTGATGCTGCTGCTTCAGGTCTTGGGACCAGCACTTTTACTTGTAATTTGTTTCAGGTTTTTTCTGCTCTGGTACAATAAGAATGGGGACTTTCCACCTTTTTCTGTGTTCTGGGTCAGTTTGAAAACTAAAGTAGTTTTGGTTCCCAAGGTTTGATGTAATTTGCCCTAATGCCATCTTGATTTTGTGGTTTTTGTGGGCCTGTGGGAAAAATAGGCCTCCATTGTTCTCCTTTGCATGTGTCTAATACTAAGCAGAGATCAGCTTTCCTTCTCTCTGACTCCATTTGCCTCATAGCTCCTAGAAGTACCTCCATGTTTTCAGTCAGTTATTTAAGATGCCCTTTGTTGTTTTCCCAGGACTGCCCTTTGTCTGTCTGTCAGTATCTATCTGTCTGATCATCTACCTATATCTACCCATGTATGAATTCATCTATCTACCCATCTATGCATCTCTTGACCTATTTATCCATCCATCCACCTATCCATCCCTGTATCTACCCATTCATCCATCTATCACACACAGATAGAGTATTTTGTTTCAAAGATATTTTAAAAGGGAGAAAAGGACTCTTTGAAAGAAAGGTTATGTTAGGCCCTAGAACCTTTTAAATTGCTCTTATCCCAACATATTTGTTATTAGAAAAAAAGGCATTATTTAATTATTAATATAACATATATTAGTTTATATTTGACATAGCATTGTTTTATTTACATTATAGAAAATATTAAAGAGAATTAAAAATAAAATGAAGTTTACATCTGATGTCCCATCAAAATATGATGATTATTCATATTTGCTATCAGTGGTTGGTATGTAAATGGAGACTCCTTTGAAGTCATTAGCAGTTGCTGTTCACTGTAAATGTCTGCAGCATCCAGCTAGCTGATTCCTGGGAGCATTACTTGATGGGTGATGGCCACCTTCCAGCATATTTCTAAGGTGATACACAGCAACCAGAGATATATTTTTTCTTTTTCAGAAAGTAACATGCAGATTTTTGGTTGGAGCACTCCCCTGGAATGGCGATTTCACTGTGATGAAAATTCAGTGTGCAGATACCTAGGGGGTTCTGGAGCATGCCCCCACTGTCTCTGCCTTTCTGTGTGAAAAGAATTATTAACAACATGCTTTCTTCATGCATGCCTCTTTGCTTACAGTTTTGTTTTCTAATTTCATATTAGGTGCTTATGAAAGACAGGCATGTCCAATTCTTTCTTCCTGGCCTCAGGGGTCAGGGCTCCCTGGGCTGTTAGCCAGCCTGATGGCTCACCATCAGGAATAAGTTTGTCACTGAATACAAAGGATGGAGTGAGGTCTAATTCTGCTCCCTACTGCAAGTCTGAAGAGAAATCACTTTTTGATTGGGTAACCTCTTTAAGTCAACAGGCTCCTTTTGGAAGCCTCCTTTGGATTGAGACTCTTCCCTTTCCTCCCAGGTCTTATGTGAACAGATCACGTAGGCTGGGAGACTCCCTGGCAGAGGCAGTCCTCCTCTGTGGGTCTCTGTGAATTGCAGGAATTTGTGTTTCTTCTTATGTAAATGTTAACAATGGTTACAGAGAGAGATAAAGACAGTAAAGTGTTAAGAGCAAGCTGCTTTGTTCACATGTCTGTGGACATACATGTGTGCATGCATGTACATGAGGGGGTAATGGGGAGAAGGAAGTAGGCAAACATGCATAACAGCAAGAAATCAAATTCTCTTGAAAATAATCATTAAAAATATGTGTGTCTAGCCAATGTGGCTAGAGGGTTATCCCGTAACCAGAAGGTTGTGGGTATGATTCTTGATCAAGGTACATACCTAGATTTCGGGTTCAGTCCCTCGTCCAGGCACATATAGGAAGAAACAAATTCATGCTTCTCTCTCATGGATGTTTCTCTATTTCCCTTCCTCTCTCTCTAAATAAAGCAATGAAACAAATGTCCTCAGGTGAATGTAAAAAACTACATGTTTCTAATGGGGAATTATTTAAAGGACAGAGTTTCAGTTTTACAAGATAAAGTTCTGGAGGTTAGTTGTAAAATAATATGAATATATTTAATACTACTGAATTATACATTTAAAATGGTTAAGAAGGTAAATTTTATACATATTTAACACATTAAAAAATAGATATGTCAGGTTTTAAAAAAATGTACTAAGTTGCTGCAAAGAGACTGTTTTTACAGATTTTTAAAATTTTTTCATCATAGTACTTTTTTATCTATAAATCATGTTTATTCTATTACAGTTGTCTCAATCTTTATCCCTTTACCCTCCTCCACCCATCCCACCCTCCACTCCCACAGTCAATTCCCACTCTGTTGTCCATGTCCATGGGTCATTCATACATGTTCTTTGTCTAGTCCCTTCCCCTTTTTTCCACCATTGTCCTCTTTCCCCATCCCCTCTGGTCACTTTCAGTCTGCTCTATGTTTCCATGCCTGTGGTTTATTTTGTTCATTAGTCTATTTTGTTGAATAGAGTGCACTTATAGATGAGGTCATATGGTATTTGTCTTTCATCAACTGTCTTATTTCACTTAGCTTAATATTCTCCATTTCCATCCATGTTGTTGCAAAAGGTAGGAGTCTTATCTCTCTCTCTTTCTTTCTTTCTTTCTTAAATGCAGATTGATTTTAAGTATTTTTTTTAGATGTCAAAGTTAATTATAAAATATTAAAAAAATTTAAAACCATTATAAAGTCTCAGCAATTAAACCAACATGACACCAGCACAGGAATAATCAACTAGATGATGAAATATATTGAGCATTCTAGAGACAAATGTATATATCTAACAATATAATATATGATTAAGTTGATATTTCAAATCAATTGGTAAAATAAGGCTTATTCAACAAATAAAGTGCATGGACCACTATTACTTGAAATAAAACACATATAGAGCCCTATTTCACACATTATACAAGAAATATTCAGGTGAGTTAAAAATCAATATGAAGAATCTAACGAGTTTTTGAAGAAAATAGAACTAATATTTTCCATGACCTGAAGTAAAATATTCAACCCCAGAAGCTATAAATATTACAAGTAGGACTATATTAAACATTTAACTATATAGTAATATCCATATAAAAATATTAAAGGACAAGGAATAGAATAGGAAAGTATTTGCAACACATCTAAAATATGGTTACTAGGTATTTTTTTTTTTTTTGTTTTTGGGAAGAAAGTTCTGCAAACCTTTAATCAATAAATGCATAAAAAATACCAAAAAGTCATTTAAAGCTTTTTAAAAAAAAATAGAAATAGGCAAGAAATATGTTAAAACAGGTTTAGTTTCAACAACAGTAAAGAACAATTAAAATAACGTCATTTATGATTCAGTCCCCCAAGTGTTGGAAGCAACCTCATTGCCCATCAGTAGATGATTGGATCAAAAAATTATGGTACATATACACAATGGAATACTACGCAGCAGAAAGAAAAAAAGAAGTACTAAACTTTGCGACAGCATGGATGGAACTGGAGAGCATCATGCTAAGCGAAATAAGCCGGGGGCGAAAGACAAATACCATATGATCTCACCTATAAGCGGAACCTAACCAACAATGCAAAGAAGCAAGGAAAATATGACCAGCAACACTGAAAGGAAAAGAAATCAACAGAGACAAGAGGGAAGGGGGGGGGGCAGGGAAAGGGAAGGGAAGGGGAAAGTCAAGGAACATATAGCAAGGACTCATGGACAAAACCAAAGGGGAAGAGCTGAGGGAGGGAAGGTGGGAGGGGGCAAGGGAAAGAGGTGGGGGGAAGACAGAGACAAATGTATTTAAAAAGTAAATATATTAATTTAAAAAAAATAAAATAATAAAAAAATCATGTTGAATTTAAAAAAAAAATAAAAATAAAAAAGAAACATCAAAATAAAATAAAAAAAATAAAATAACGTCATTTTTACAATCAGATTAATGAGTATTACAAATATTGGTAATATCAAGTATTGTTGACTGCGAAATGAAGTGGTATTCATAGAAACCTTTTCTTCATTTTAAAGCAGTCTCTTTAGCATATTTTGCAGTGCTGGTTTGGTGGAGGTGTATTCTTTTAGCCTTCTTTTGTCTGGGAAACTCCTTATTTCACCTTCCATTTTAATTGAGGGCCTTGCTGGGTAAAGCAGTCTTGGTTGCAGGCTTTTGCTTTTCATGACTTGGAATATGTCTTGCCATTCCCTTCTGGCTTTCAGTGTTTCTGTTGAGAAGTCAGATGCTAGTTGTATTGGGGATCCCTTATATGTTACTACCTCTTTCTCCTTTGCTTGCTTTAGGATTCTCTATTAGTCTTTGATATTTGCCATTTTAATGAGGATGTGTCTTGGAGTCGGCCTCATTGAATTCCTCTTGAATGAGACCCTCTGTGCTTCCTGGATTTGTGTGACTTTTTCTCTCCTCCAATTAGGGAAGTTTTCCATCATGACTTTTTCAAACAGGTTCTATGTCCCTTCCTCTTCTTCTTCTTCTGGTATCCCTATTATATATATATTATTATGTTTCAGGTTGTCCTGCATTTACCTCAATGCCTCTTCATTACTTTTGAGTCTTTTTTCATTTCCTTGCTCTTTCTGGGAGCTTTTTTATACCTTGTCCTCCACCTCACTGATTCAATCCTCTGCTTCATCTAGCCTCCTTTTGATTCCTTCTACTGTGCTCTTCAATTCAGAAATGATATTCTTCATGTCCTCTTGTCTCTTATTGATAGTTTCTACCATCGATAGTTTCATGCTGATATAGTTTGCAGTAAATTCCTTGTAGTTTCCCTATAGTTTTTGGTAATTCTCTCTGAGCTCACTGAGCTCATTGCGCTTCCTTAGAACTGTTGCTTGGAACTCAATATTTGATAGTTTACTTGCCTCTATTTCATTGAGTTCTCTTTCTGGGGAGTCTTCCTTTCCCTTTGAGTGGGGTGTATATCTTTATCTTCCCATTATTTGTGAGACTCTTCTCTTTTGCTTCTGAATCTTAAGTTGATATGTCTTGATTTCCTGACTTTGTGGTGTGAACTTCTATGTGAAGCTTTGTGGTGTGAAGCTTTAAATGGCTTTTTGATATTCTTTATCCATTTTTTGACTAAATGTTTGTAGAATTTCCCCCCCAAAAAACCAAAAAAACTATTAAGCCTTTTTTAGATGTGTTGCAAATACTTTCCTGTTCTATTAATTGTCCTTTAACTTTTTTATATGTATATTAATATATAGTTTTAAATATTAAATGTAGTCATTGTGAATATTTTCTTTTATAGCTTCTGGGTTTGAATATTTTACTTCGCGGTAAGAAAAAATATTAGTTTCTATTTTCTTCTAAAACTCCTTAGGTTTTGCATATTGATTTTTAACTCACCTGAATATTTTTTTGTATAATTTGTGAAATAGAGCTCTATATTTGTTTTATTGTAATAGTGGTCCATGCACCTTATTTGTTGAATAAGCCTTATTTTCCCCATTGATTTGAAATAGTTTCATCATATATTCCATCATTAGATATATATATATATGTATATATACACACACACACACACACACACACACACACACACATATATTTATTTCCAGAATGCTCATTTTATTTCATTGATCTACTTGATTATTTCTGTGCTGGAGTTATGTTATTTTAATTTCTGAGACTGTATAATAGACTTAAATTTTTTAATATTTATAATGGATTTTGATATTTTAAAAAATAAACTCAATCTGCGTTTTAAAAAAAGAAAGATGGAACTCCTACCTTTTGCAACAACATGGATGAAACTAGAGAATATTATACTAAGTGAAATAAGCCAGTCAGTGAAGGACAAATACCATATGATCTCATCTGTAAGTGGAATCTAGTTAACAAAATATCTAATGAACAAAATAAACCACTGGCATGGAATCATGGAGCAGACTGAAAGTGACCAGAAGCGATGGAGAAGGAGGACATGTGTGGAAAGAAGAAGGGACTAAAGAAAGAACATGTATGAATAACCCATGGACATGGACAACCAAGTGGGAATTGACTGTGGGAGCCATGGCAGGGTGAGATGGGTGGAAGAGGGCAAAGGGGAAACAATTGAGACAATCGTAAT